ATGAAAGTAGAATGTGTGGAAACTTTGCTTTTGCCTTACATCCTTCTCACTGGACTTTTTGAAAAATATATTGAGGCATGCATTACTTTTATAATGTAAAACAATTAGTTTAAGGAAAAAATCTTGAGTATGATTTCAAGTTTTCAGTTCAAAAATAAAGTCACACCTCAATTTCAATGTTTGAAGCTTATTTTGTTTTGTTTTGTTTAGAGGAGGAAGACCCTAAAAATATAGTGGTATATTTTTTAGAGTTTTCTACTCAGTATAATACATAACTTGCCATTCTTTTTCTACAGATGTATTTAGGGATTTGGGATAATCTGCCAGGTGTTGTGAAATGTCAAATGGAACAAGCGCTTCATCTTGATTTTGGAACTGAATTGGAACCAAGAAAAGAAATAGTGCTATTTGATAAGCCAACTAGAGGAACTACTGTACAAAAATTCAAAGAAATGGTCTATAGTCTCTTTAAGGTAAGTATATCCATTCACATGTTGCTAGTGTGAAGTGGGACTCTTCAGAGGAATTGGCAGGACCTCATCCTAAGCCATTTAAGTGTTGATATTCTTTGACCTCTATCAAGTACTCCATCCTGAGGAAATAATTAAAAGAAGCCTGGCACAGTGGCTCATGCCTGTTATCCCAGCACTTTGGGAGAACAAGGCAGGAGGATCGCTTGAGCCCAGGAGTTCAAGACCAGCCTGGGCAACATAGTAAGACCTCAGCTATTTAAAAAAAAAAAAAGCCAGGAGTGATGGCATGTGCCTGTAGTCCTAACTACTTGAGAGACTGAGGTTTGAGGATTGCTTGAGCCTGGGAGGTTGAGGTTACAGTGAGCCACGATCTCACCACTGCACTCCAGCCTGGGCGACAAAGCGAGACCTTATTTCCGAAAGAAAAATCTGTGTTGGAGAATGTTTACTTTAACATTATTTATGATAGCGGAAAATGTCCAGATATGAGGAGAGAGTTCATTAATTAGTTTGAGTGCTGTACAGTTTGACATGAAAACTAATACAAAAAAGGTGAAATGAAATTAGTATACTCTTAGAAGTGTGGTTTTTAGAGGCTGGGAAGGGTACGGAGGAGAGGAGGGTAAGAAGTTGGATAACAGATACAAAATTACAGCTAGATAGGCAATAAGTTCTAGTGTTCTATAGCACTGTAGGGTAAAGGGATTAACAATTTTTGTATATTTTCAAAAAACTAGAAGAGAGGATTGTGAATGTTCACAATACAATGATAAATGTTTGTATAATATGCTAATTACCTTGATTTGATAAACACATTGTATGTGTGTATTGTAATATCACTCTGTATCTCATGCAGTGTGCCCCCGTTCACAATACAGACGAGGCACAGGGCCTGGGCTGAGGTGTACATGGGGGTTTACTCTACCTCCTCATTCTAAACAGTCAGTGTAAGAACACAGCTTGGGATAAGCGCCAGGAGGCCTGGGGATTTTTTTTTAATCTTTCTTTTCTTAAAAGACAGTTGTGTTTTTTTGTTTTTGTTTTTGTTTTTTTTTTTTTTTGGGACGGAGTTTCGCTCTTGTTACCCAGGCTGGAGTGCAGTGGCGCGATCTCGGCTCACTGCAACCTCCGCCTCCTGGGTTCAGGCAATTCTCCTGCCTCAGCCTCCTGGGTCGCTGGGATTACAGGCACGCGCCACCATACCCAGCTAATTTTTTGTATTTTTAGTAGAGACGGGGTTTCACCTTGTTGACCAGGATGGTCTCGATCTCTTGACCTCGTGATCCACCCGCCTCGGCCTCCCACAGTGCTGGGATTACAGGCTTGAGCCACCGCGCCCGGCTGTTTTTGTTTTTTTTTTTAAGACAGGATCTTGCTCTGGCGCCCAAGCTAGAGTGTACAGTAGCCTGATCTTGGCCCATTGCAGCCTAAGGCTCCTGGGTTTAAGCCACCCTCCTGCCTCAGCCCCCACAAGTAGCTGGGATCACAGTACCTCCACACCTGGCTAATTTTTTTTTTTTTTGAGACAGAGCCTGACTGTCACCAGGTTGGAGTGCAATGGCAGGGTGGTCTCAGCTCACTGCAACTTCCACCTCCTGGGTTCAAGCAGTTCTGCTTCAGCCTCCTGAGTAGCTCAGATTATAAGCACCCACCACAGCACCTGGCTAATTTTTGTATTTTTCGTAGAGACAGGGTTTCACTACTTTGGCCAGGCTGGTCTCGAACTCCTGACCTCGTGATCCACTGTCTTGGCCTCCCAAAGTGTTGGGATTACAGGCATGAACCACTGCACCTAACATTTTTTTTTTATTTTTATTAGAAACAGGTTTCACCATGTTGCCCAGGCTGGTCTAGACCTCCTGCGCTCAAGTGATCTGCCCACCTTGGCCTCCCAAAGTACTGGAATTACAGGCGTGAGCCACCACGCCTGGCAGTATCCCATAAATTTGTACAATTATTACATGTTAACTAAAAATAATTACGTGTCAACTAAAAAAGCATAGCAGTTCCTCCCATGCAAAAAAAGAATAATTAGTACTCTGTGAATTATTATTTTTTAGTTTAAACAAATACACATATAAAGATTAAATAGAAATAAATACAAGAAAGTTTTGTGAAAAAATTATTTTCATTGCTCTTTTCACTCACATTTTTTCTTTGGCCATTTTACATGTATTTCAGACTTTTATCCCAGAGAAACAGGGAAATACTTTTTAACCTCCATTATTGTAATACTACTACTTGTACAAAATAATTATTAATGTGATAAATACAAAATTGGAGAAAATACTTAGGCCAAGCATGGTGGCTCATGCTTGTAATCCTGAGCCACTTTGGGAGGCTGAGGTGGGAGGGTCACCCGAGCCCAGGAGGTTGAGACTAGCCTGGGCAACACAGTGAGACCCTTGTCTCTTAAAAAAAAAAAAAAAAAAAGAGAGAGAAAATAATTTTTAGTTGACCCTTATTCTAACTTTGATATAAGTACATTACAGTACAATTTTCCAAGTCCACATATGAAGGGGTGGTTTGCTAATGTATGAATGAGGAATAATTACTTTGTTGGTTAACTATCTAAAGGGTCAGAAGGGGATAGGGGTGTTAGAATGGCCATTTCCTAATAGACAAGTATATTAAAGTGGGTTTTACTACAATTACATAAAGCAAGGTTCTAGTCACTTAAGAAGCTTCACAAATATTTGGAGATATAATACATTAAGTTCCTTCATGGGGATTCAGGAGCAAGATTACTTCTGGTAATAGTGCCCATAAAGGAACTTAGTATGTTGCATGGGAGATATTTTTCATTCCTTCTATATAATTAGCCAAATTCTTGACAGGCAAAATTGGGTGACCAAGGAAACCTCTCTGAACTGGTTAATCTCATCTTGACGGTGGCTGATGGAGACAAAGATGGCCAGGTTTCCTTGGGAGAAGCAAAGTCAGCATGGGCACTTCTTCAACTAAATGAATTTCTTCTTATGGTGATACTTCAAGATAAAGAACATACCCCCAAATTAATGGGATTCTGTGGTGACCTCTATGTGATGGAAAGTGTTGAATATACCTCTCTTTATGGAATAAGCCTCCCTTGGGTCATTGAACTTTTTATTCCATCTGGGTTCAGAAGAAGCATGGATCAGCTGTTCACACCATCATGGCCTAGAAAGGCAAAAATAGCCATAGGACTTTTGGAATTTGTGGAAGATGTTTTTCATGGCCCCTATGGAAATTTCCTCATGTGTGATACCAGTGCCAAAAACCTAGGATATAATGATAAGTATGATTTGAAAATGGTTGATATGAGAAAAATTGTGCCAGAGACAAACCTGAAAGAACTTATTAAGGATCGTCACTGTAAGTCTGATTTGGACTGTGTCTATGGCACGGATTGTAGAACTAGCTGTGATCAGAGTACAATGAAGTGTACTTCAGAAGTGATACAACCAAATTTGGCAAAAGCTTGTCAGTTACTCAAAGACTACCTACTGCGTGGTGCTCCAAGTGAAATTCGTGAAGAATTAGAAAAGCAGCTTTATTCTTGTATTGCTCTGAAAGTCACAGCAAATCAAATGGAAATGGAACATTCTTTGATACTAAATAACTTAAAAACATTACTGTGGAAGAAAATTTCCTACACTAATGATTCTTAGTTCATTTGGACATAATTACCATTGTAAGAAACCTGCCAATTTTAAAGAACAATTTTGACTATTTAAAAAAAAATGGCTTGATTCGGATTCCTGCCAGTTACACATAACTCTTGCCCCATCAGGCCTGAAAAGCCATCAGTGTGTGATTACTGAAGTAATGGCAGGAGGTGTAAGATCAACAGGTCCCTAAGATGTCATTCCTACCCTTTTAGAAGCCCCATTACATCGCCCAAGTACATTCATCGTGCAACTATTTTGACTGACTTTAAAAACCAATGCTGTGAAAAGCCTCATTCCATAAACATTAATAGTGACTGATTTGTAGATTTACCGTAGCCAAAATACCAGTGCTGGAAACATTGTGTTTGCATTGAAGCTGCTGTTCAACAAGAAAATTTATAAATTTACTGACATCTAGCATGGTAAAGTTTGCACATTAACAGAAATTAAGACTGCAAAGCAGGTTAAACTTGTTCCTTTGTAAACAGATGCTGGGTTAATAGCATGGTTTATTGTATTATAGACTTAAACACAATTTTTAACCTCATTCAGACATCAGCTGTTATGTGTAGCTTCACAATGTTTCAAGTGGCTTATTTCAAATCTTATACTTGACAATATACCAATTTTAGTGACTGAAAAATGAACTTTCTTAAAGATTCAAAGGGCCCATCTTAGTATCAGACAGCTGACTGAGCCCTTCAAAACTGACATCGTAAGGCCCATTCAAAATCCACACATGCCAATTATGAGCTATGTCAAAGTGGGACTATAAGTGCAAGACTAAAACTTTCCATTTTCAAATAATAGTATATCATGTGGGCCAAAGGGCTATTTCTTAAAGAGGCATGTAAATTTATTCATCTGACCTTTTTCCCCCCATGCAAACTTGATATACAAGGTTTAATATTTGCTCCTCTTCCATGTTATTTTCACATGTATACTCAGATTTGGCATGTTACCTTTCAACATCTCCATAAAATTAATATCTTTTGGAGAAAAGATCCAGTATTTTCTGCTCAAAGGTTTCACCTAGGTCAAATGGATGTGTTAAAAATCTATGTGACCTTCACTGGACAGCTTTCTCTCAAAACTTTCCTTCAAAGCCATGGATTAGCACCTGTTTTGTTTGCTTTAAGTTACTTTTTCTTCCCATTAATCATCTGGTTATAATAAATGGATGGGAGAAATATTTCCTAGTAATGGTTGGTCTGTTGCTTGCCAGATTTTTAGGGAAAGCTGTACATCATAGAACATTAGTGATAATGACTCCCTGGCAGGTAAAATAGAAGCCCAAGAATATAAGTGGGAACTTTGTTGGAAACAACTTTTACTAAAAAAGTTACGCTTCTTTTCTTGGAGAAGAAAACCTGTCAACTCCTTTGCTTTTACAAAATACTTCAGGTATTTCCTATAAGGTTCATAAGAATAAGAGCTTAACACAGATATAATTGCTGTCCATAAGTTTATTGTCTTTATCTGAAAAATCCTGATAGAAAATTTGTTTGGTTTAGCTCTCAGCAGCCCGCTCCTGAGCTCTGAGGAAGCTTGCCTTCTTTTGAGCTACCCGATCTTTCTTCTGAGCAAGGGACATTTTGGGGCGGTTCCACCTACAAAAGATAGGAATATATCTATGTTTAAACCATAACTGAAGAGAATAGAGAATATTTCAATTAAAAATTTAATTTTAATAAAATTAACGTTAATAAAATTTTAACAGAGAATATTTAAGACTTTGCAATCAGATGGAGGTTAAATAATCCAAGTTCAAATACATTTACTCATGTATGATCTTAAGCTAACTTTCCCAAGCCCCAACTTCTGTCATGTCCTACTAGTATAGGGCCAAAAGTCAAATAGAAGACATGTTAGATCCAGCAACCCCCACTTCTAGGTATTTGCCCAAAGTTTTGAAATCAGTTTGTCCAAGAGATCAGCACTCCCATGTTCACTGCAGCACTATGTATTAATAGCAACAGATAAATGGATAAAAAAAATATGGTATATATATACATAATGGAATATTACCCAACCTTTAAAAAAGATGGAAATTCTGTCATTTGTGAGAGAAACAGAAGTGGAGAACATTGTGCTGAGTGAAATAAGCCAAACACAAAAAAACCAAATACTTCATATTCTCACTTGTATGTAGAATCTAAAGCAATGGAACTCATAGAAGCAGAGTGTAGAATGGTAGTTGCAAAGAGTGTAGGCTGGTGGGTGCAAAGAATGGACATGATAGCCGAAAACATGAAAGATCAACAAAAAGCAGCTTTTTGTTAACCAATAAAAAATACAGTAACCAGTACTGAGACTGTACTAGGATAGAAAGGGCCACCTCAGTAGTGTCTGAAGCTAACACATTTCTATCACCACAATTACTTTCGCAAACCTGGTTCCCTTCGCTTCTGCCACATCATGCAGAGCTAGTGATCGAGTTTGCACAGCTACGCCACTGGAGAACCACTCCCAACCTGTTTTCTTGTAAAGACCAAAAAAAAAAAAAAAAGACATACCTCTTCTTCTTAACTTCTTTCTTGGGCTTCTTTTCATAGACTGGATTCTCTCGTATAGCAGCATGAGCTTTCTTATACATCTCCTCCATCTGAAACAAAGGAAAGCAAACAGTACTTGGTTTCATTTCATATGCCCTACTATATTAAGGTAATCATGACTTATTTTGTCCTTCTAAGCCAGATTCTCAAAAGGAACTAAACTAAGTCAATCTTGGTAAACACTTTAATTTCTAAATGTAACTCACCTTTTCCTAACAAATTCCCAATTTTTGCCTTATGTAATGTGAACTATTGCTATTCATAAAACTCCATCTTATTCAAGAAAAAGTCATGCCAGGTGTGGTGGCTCATGCCTGTAATCTCAAGCACTTTGGGAGTCCAAAGTGGGAGGATGACTTGAGCACAGGAGTTTGAGAGATCAACCTTGGCAACATAGTGAGACCTGTCTCTACAAAAAATAATAATCATCAGCCAGGTGGCAATTATTAATGGTAGCATGCACCTGCAGTCCCAGCTACGTTGAGTCCAGGAGGTCAAGGCTGCAGCACAATCACAGCTCACTGCACCCCAGCCTGCGTGACAGAATGAGACCTCATCTCTACCAACAATGAAAAAAAAATTAGAAGGCTGGGTGCAGTGGCTCAAGTCTGTAATCCCAGCACTTTGGGAGGCCAAGGCAGATGGATCACAAGGTCAGGAGTTGGAGACCAGCCTAATCAACATGGTAAAACCCCATCTCTACCAAAAATACAAAAATTAGCCAGGTGTGGGGCTGTGTGCTTATAATCCCAGCTACTTGGGAGGCTGAGGCAGGAGAATCGCTTGAACCCAGGAGGTAGAGGTTGTGGTGAGCCGAGAGTGCGCCATTGTATTCCAGCCTGGGCAAAAAATGAGACTCCGTCTCAAAAAAAAAAAAAAAAAATTAGCAGGGCATGGTGGTGTACACCTCTAATTCCAGCTACCTTGGGAGGCTGAGGTGGGAAGGTTGCTTGAGCCCAGAAGTTTGAAGTTACAATGAGCTATTGTGCCACTGCCACCCCAGCCTGGGCAACAGAACAAGATCCTGCCTGACACACACACACACACACACACACACACACACACCCCACCCCCCCACCCCCCCCAAAGAAAAAAAGAAAGAAAAACCTGCATATACTTCTGAGAAATTCAGCCACACTTGAGTCACTCTAAATCAAATTTTTGTCTTCAGAAACAAATACTGCACTTCTCATCTTAAATATTGGCTGGTCTAAAATCTTTCATTCAAGAACACATGCCAAAAGTATTAAGATGATGAACGTATGGGACCAAGAGTCACAATACTGACATAGCTTAACTGGGACCAAAAACTGGACACAGGCCAACAAGCAAATTCATGTGTCATCCCATACTCCCCAGAATTTTTTTTTCCATCTTTATCTCATAGGCCTTTTAAAGCAATTCCCAGCATTATGTACCAAAGACCTCTTCTGTCTTTGACTACTACCTATCCCTAGTATCTGGTGGTAATACAAGGCCTCTAGGACAAGAAAGCGGTCTGAAGTTTTCCCGAAAAGCCTCTAGAAAGCCAGAAAGAGGCCTAAACTTTTCCTATAAGGCCTCTAGGACCACTATGATGTCTGAAGTTTTCCTGAAAAGCCAACCGATCAGATATGTTACTGGGCAATTTTTCATTTGCTTGTTTTTTGAGATGGAGTCTTGCTGTTGCCCAGGCTGGAGTATAGTAGCGTGATCCCCGCTCACTGCAAACTCCGCCACCCACGTTCAAGCAATCCTGCCTCAGCCTCCCGAGTAGCTGGGATTGCGGGCGTGAGACACCACGCCCAACTAATTTTTGTATTTTTCATAGAGACAGGGTTTCACCATGTTGGCCAGGCTGGTCTCAAACCCCTGACCTCAGGTAATCTGCCCGCCTCAGCCTCCCAAGTGCTGGGATTACAGGCATGAACCACCACACCTGGCCAGGGCAATTTTGTTCTAAAACTCACCAGGGGGAAAAAATACTGCAACTCTGAATACCTAAAAATTATAGCCCACTACAGACTATGTCACAGTAATCCAGGTCTCTAAAATTATTCATTAAATTTGCAGATGTGATTACTACATTCACTTGCATAAAGCTTATTAATAGAGGAAAATAATGCAAAACTGCTCATTGCATTTGAAACCTCAACTACCTATATCCATTTTGAAAGTTAATTTTCCTACCTCTTAGCACTCTATTATAGCTGTTCACTAACAAATATTTAATAAATCCACTTGATGACTTCATATATAATCATTCCACAAATCTAAGCAACCCAGTTCCTTCCAAGACGTCATACAAGTAGACATGTAGATAATGCCATGAATTCAGGCAAAGACCACTTCCTGTTGGAGACACATCAGATGTCTGCAGACGATTTCAGCAGGTACAGAGGAGAGAGGCCACTGTAGATAGTTAATGAGCCAAGTGGAAAAATACATTAGCCAAAAAGTAGTCTAGCTGAAGGAAAGCATGTATACAGGAAGCCATTAGGAAATAAACATCTGAAAGCACAAATTGAGAGTCTAAAGTTCTGAGCAAGTATAACATGACTACATCAAGATATAGATTAAGAAGTAAATTTTGCAGAACAAGTAGGATCATGATCCAAAGGTACATGACATCTTTAACAGGATGAAGTCATAAGTAACAAAGAAATATAATACAGTAAAAAATAACATGCACCTACATTACTGATTTAAAAAAAAAAAAAAAAAAAAAAAAAAAAAAAACTCTGGCCTAGGAATAGGAAGGAAAAAAAAATACCCAACTTTTCTTTTCCTCACTTAAACTCGTTTAATCTTACACTGTGTCCAAAGCACAAAAATAACAGAAAGTGGTCATTTCCCAACTACAACTCTTGTTTTTTAAAATTTTCCTAGCCATAGCTATGCCAAAATAGAAGCTACTACACAGTAACAAAAAAGAACCTGGGTCTTTTTTGTTAAAAAAAGATGGCTCTCATCTGTAAGCCCAGCACTTTGTGACTCACTGTTGCAAACATGGCTCCCCTCATTGCTATAACACCATGTAGACTCAATGACCAAATCTCCTTTCCTGTGTACGTATCTGAGATAATTGCAAAGTCCAGAATATAGCACATATATGCTATGAAGAGCTTTCCTCTCCCATGGTATCAACATTACTGAAGTTTATTATCTAGCACCTCCTATCAAACAAAGCAGATTACAACTATGACTACAGGAATGACATCTACAAACATAGAACAGCCAAAGCATAAAAGGTAGCCAAATCTTCAGAAGCTAAAGTCCCCCATATTTGAGCATCTAAAAGATTACTAAAAGCATGTTGACAAGTTTGGCTCAGCACTAACCTGAAACAAATCTATATAATATTACCTCCCCGAAAAACAAGTAATAAACCTATTTCTATAAATTAACCAATATAGGCATTTTTTAGGTAAATGTTTTACCATGTCTGGAGTTACGCTGTTCTTTATGTATTGAGAGAACTGTTTCTTGTAAGCATCTTCATCTTCTTCCATTAAGTAGCGCATGTAATCTGCAACATTCTGGCCCATGATGTGCTTCCGGTGTACTTCTGCATTAAATTCCTTGCTTTCAGAATCATAACCAGGGAATCGCTTGGTACTGAAATAAAGTTATTCATATTTTAGTATAGACTCATCTCATTTAGCTTACTAGTAAGAATTTACTTCAGTAGCTGCCATCAGTCCCGTCTTGAAACAATTATTGCATCATATGCAACCAAAGGACCAATTACTGACTGCTCAGTTAGTGGGATATCATCATTCAGCAGCTCATCTCTGAATTCCAGGACAGAAAACAAATTCATGCTAAAACACCTTTAAAAGCCACTACACCAAGGCTTTCTACCACTACAAAATTAGTTATCCAGCATATCAGCACAGGAAGGAGTTTCAAAACTTATCCCCTAAATCCTTTAATTTTCAGTGGGTACATGGGAATAAGTGATTTGTCCAAGATCACAGGTAATGAAATTGTCAAGTGAGAATGCTCTTGATATACTTGCCCCCACCCACCTCCACATCATAAAAGCAAAATTTCAGTTAGGTTGTTATTTTTAAGCTTACCAAAAATTACTATTTCTTGGTTGTTAAAATCACCAAATGCTAAAATATTCCTAAGAAGTTAATAAATCAAGATGCGTGGACTCAACAAAAAAAATCATTAACTCAAACCAATGGAACCACAAATTAACCTATTTAACTTCCCAAAATGGACTACAATCTTATTCCTAGTTGCAGCAGGTTTAGAAATCTTTCATAAGCCTTTTCCTCAAACTCCTTATAAAATTCTAGATCTATCTTTTTGCATAATTCAGTTAAATTTTTATTCTGAATGAAAAAAAGTACATGGGGAAAGAGGACAGAGTTGCTCGTTTCTAATAAAAATTAAGTCATATGCAAAAGGTAGTGGTTTCAATCCCATCTCTTTCACTAGCTGGCTCAAAAAACTTGGACAAATAATTGTGAGCCTCAGACTCTTAATTTATAAAATGGGCTATAATTCCTTCCTGCCTTACCAGGTTCATCCTGCATGGTACCTATCACACAGCAGGCGTTTAATGAATGCTAGCTACTTTAATTTGGTTATTTCCACAGTACAACCAGTTAAAAATAGGGAAGTACCAGAGTCTAGGCACCAAGGTCTTTAATAGTATTCTTACCTATGAGGGATAGACAAGCCTCCATCCACAGCTCCCTTCAGGGCACCAAAAACTTTATTGCCAGTGGTAGTTCTGGCAAGGCCTGCATCCAAATAGCAGGTAAAGGCACCTGGCTGATCATCAATGCTTTCCACATTGTATTCATCACCAGTCACCTCCACTTGGCCTTCATAGATCTTGTCCATGCCAAACCTATTGAGAAGCTTTTAAAGAAACCAGTGTAAATGCCCATTTGGATTATTCAAACTGCTCTAAAATTAAAATAGTTTATGTCATAACCATAAGGACCACTGACATATGTAAAAAAAATTTTCCTTCCACACCTACCCCTTTCACCAGATCCACTTGGTCATAAATTTTTAAATGCCATTAAAAAAACTTAAGACTTTCAATTTCACCTGAAACAATTTTGTCTTATGACTTCTGCATCTTTGCTACATGTTGACATTTGACTTATATAGCAATCAGAGAATGCATAAATTTGATTGTTATACTTACTCAAGGGGGAGTAATCTCCACATTTATCCAGTCATATTTGTTTAGAATAATTCATCAATTAAATACCTGATGTCATAACATGTAGTTTAACTTAATCTGGAATAAAATTTTAGGGGTAGAATCCTGGGCAAAAGAAACATCTTTTGTGGCTCTATTCTCCAACTACATTATGTTAGCTCACACCACTCGTCTGCTGGTACAGTCTCCTAGCTATTGTTCCACAAGTAATTAGCCTTTGCACCAAATTGTTCTCATTTATCATGACAACGATCCCTCCACTCAAACATGTTTATAACCAATGATGTGGGTGGGTTGTGTCAACCTCGATGCATATGCTTAATAATTCCATTGCAAATCAAGTCAGAAACTGAGATAATAAAAATAAGGCAAAAATCTCATCTTCATCTACCAGCAAAGTAAAGCATATACAGGAAACACTGCCACCCAGATGGAAAAATGTTTAAAACAAAAATGAATCTTCCCATCAATGACCACTCTCCAAAACACTAAAATTCTCAATTTTTTTTTTTTTTTTTTGAGACAGAGTTTCACTTGTTGCCCAGGCTGGAATGCAATGGCGCAATCTCGGCTCACTGCAACCTGTCTCCTGGGTTCAAGTGATTCTTCTGTCTCAGCCTCCCCAGTAGCTGGGATTACAGGTGCCTGCCACCATACCCAGCTAATTTTTTGTATTTTTAGTAGAGACAGGGCTTCACCATGTTGGCTGGATGGTCTCAAATCCTGACCTCAAGTGATCCACCCACCTTGGCCTCCCAAAGTGCTGGGATTACAGGCATGGTACATACTATCAAAATACAGATTCCAGAGGGTCTAGAGTGGAGTTCCCACAGATCTGTGTTTTCAATGTCTGCCAACATTCAGAAGATATGTATCTGAGTAGCATTGAGTCTTCATTGTCCAATTAAGTAGTCACTAGCTACAAGTGGATTTTCAAATTCAAGTTTACATACTGCTGGAGCTCAATAGCTGCAGGTCGCTAGTGGCAAAACTAATGGACAGCAAATTACAGATCTGTGTCATTGCAGAAAATTTTTTTGTAAAGAGCTGACCTAGATAGATGCATAAACAGGGCAGAAAACTGGAAGCAGGCACTCTCCTGAAGCACAAGCGAGGCTATCTTATCCATGTGCAAACATCTTGCAGAAAATGAACTATATAAATAAAAGTCATCTTGTACATACCCTGCGGGCCAGCAGCAGGCCAGTACAATACGCTGCAGCATAATTTGTCAGGCCAACCTTCACGCCATATTTTGGCAGTTCGTGTGCATATGCTGCGCAGACTATCATATCCCCCTCTATACGGGCATAAGCAATCTACAGTAAGAGAAAAACTAGGTTAGTAATCTATTGCTTTCACTGTCTCATTATGTCTTCATTTCTCTTCAAAGGAATAAAAAAAAAATCGATGGATATAGATGTGTATCACTTAAAATGCTGAAAACTCTTAGCTGGGTTACTGATAAACTAGAGGTACTTAAAAAGTCACAGAGGAATATCCAATTATTTCAACCATCCTTTGAACTAAACATAACTAAGTTCAATGAAGTCTCAGGAACATAATATTTAGTTACCTGAACCTGGACACAGAGGAAGACACTGCCTTCACAATAAACAAATTAATTTGCCCAGAAAACGTATGCCTACCCGCTATAAAATATCGATAAATCTTAACTCTCAGAATTTTTCCTAATTGTAAAAGCCAAGATTCTAGCTTACAGAGTCCAGTGAGAATGCTCTTAGTACAAGAGCAAACTGCCACCTCCTAAAGGCCTTTCATGTGGGAGCCACCTTTGTACATTTTATTAAAACCTGTTTCAGGCCAGGTGTGGTGGCTCATGCCTGTAATTCCAGCTCTTTGGGAGGCCAAGGCAGGCAAATCACCTGAGGTCAGGAGTTCAAGACCAGCCTGGCCAACATGGTGAAACCCCATCTCAAAAACAAAAAACAAAACAAAAAAAACCCTATTTCAAATAATAACCAGAATAATCTTAAAGCCCTGTTTAACTCACAACTACCTCTTCAGTGGTTGAATAGCATATAAGGTCATATAGGAAAAATCAGGACAAACCCAATTCTTCTACTGGAATTGGGATGGGCAAGAACTTCTTACTTGCCTCTAATCTCCCCACCCCACACATACACATAAAATAGGTTTCAGTCTTTGTCGCCCTGGTTGGAGGGCAGTGGTGTGAGCTCAGTTCACTGCAGCCTCAACCTTGGGGCTCAATCATCTGACTGAGTAGCTGGGACTACAGGTGTGCCCCACCATGCCCGCTAACTTTTTTATAGTTTTTGTGAAGACAAACTCTCACTATATGGCCCAGGCTGATCTCAAAACTCCTGGCTCAAGCAATCTTACCAAAGTGTGCTGGGATTACAGGCATGAGCCACCACGCCCAACCAAGTGTGTTTTTAAGTACCAATTTCCCAGGCTCCAATTCTAGACCTACTAAAAGGAAAAGAATAATTCACTGAATGCTTTTGGAGGTGCCTGACAGCCCTTTTAACACATACACCATATGCTTTGCTTCCCAAGCACAATTTCTTGCAGTGAAAAAAGGGGAATGCTTCTGTCTAGAATACAACTTACCTGACAAATGATATCTCTGTTTGTTACACGAACTATCATCCTGTATTTGGGTGTGTTGTATTTATTTTTATCCTGTATCACCAAGCGTTTCCGAGCATAGTAATCAGTTTTACCCTCTAAAGAAAAAAAAATTTTTAGAAAGGATAGTCTACTGCAAAGCAGATAAATATTGTAAACACAAAAAGATGACAGTACCTCGTCGTCTTCTAAATTTCACTTGGTATCTCTTAAAGTAGGCCTTATTCTTAACAACTTTAACAAACCCCTTAAAGAAAAAAAAAATGTTATTAAAACTTTGATGTCTTAGTCTGTGATACTTTTGACATGAATTAACCATGTAACAAAATAACACTTGAACTTCCAGAGCTGAAACAGACAGTTGTCACTTGTAGAATCCCATGTTTCACAAGCGACTAGAGTCAAGATTACTTTTCCCCTATTTTCCATGTCACAGACTGATAGTTTTATAAAACACAATAAAAGTGAATCATTAGAGAAATACGGAATAAAAGAAACAAGCATACAAAATGCAGGCCCCAATTTATTACATTTAACAGGCATAAAATTGTTACATTGCTTCCAAAAGTTTTTAAATGCTTACTCTCAGTCTCTGTACTTGTTTCTTCGAGGAGCAGCACCAATAACTGTGTCAAACTTTTGCGAAGCACTGCTCTAGACAACAGCCAGTGGTACCAAATGTCAGTCTGTTCGGAACATGCTCTGTCTCACTTCGAAAACCTAGCCTCACATTACTACATACTTCTCTCGCGCCCCACGTATGCTTTTCAAAAGCCTAAATTACCTGCCACAAAGCTTAAATGGGCAAGAGCACATTCATCAATAATTCCTCGCTAAAACAGCACTGTTCCCCCACCAGCTAAATCAACATTTCATTCCACCTTTGGGGCCCTACCCCAGTAATTAAAAACTGATCCGGCAACGGACTCTAGAAGAAGAGGCAGGAGGCACATATTCCACGTTAAAGGAGCTTCCGGGGCCCAGGGACACCTCTGCCTCCAAGCACCACTGACAATTTTGGCTTAAAAGCCACTTGCTCGGCCCACGGGCACAGGCTTCCTAAAAAACTGCCGGCTCCGACGTTCTCCCGGAAAACCCAAAAAGTACTCGATACTCAGAGGTCGAGCGGGGCCCGAGGACCTGCAGCCCGACTCCCTTCCGGCGTTCTCCAGCTAGGCTGAGGTCGATTGCCTGTGACCTCTCCCGCCCCGCCGCTTGCCAGTGCCCCCTCACACTAGCCAGCAGTATCCCCCATGCAGGCTGCCTACTAAACTAACTACTTCTCCCCAACCCGCCGTCTAAGTTCACGCTACCCTTCTTCGCAAACCCCTCCCCCCGAAGTTCGCGCACCGGGCGGCAGCCATTAAGGCCACGCTGGGAGCTGCAGCTAGACCAAGTCAGAGCCAGCAATCTAATGCCATCCGGTCCCTGCGACGCACGAGACGGGCCCTAGGCTGGCGTGCGAGCGAGAAAAGGGAACCTCTGTGCATTTAGAGTCCCGAGATCGAAGCATCCACTCACCATCCTAAGGAACAGAGACCTGCGTCCGCGGCTCAACACAGACCTGCAGGCCCAGCAGCGCTAGGGGGGGAAAAGGGCCACAGCCCCTGCGCAGGCGCAGTATGTAACGCCGACTGTCACGTAACTGACGTGTGGAAGAGAGAGTGTGTCCGCCACAAGACGTTTTGTGTTCCGCCCCCTGCTGGCAGGAGGGTCAATACCTGTCTGCCTTGTCACAAGCTCTCAAGGTTCCAACGCTCTGGGCACAGGATTGCCTAGGATCCGGGCCATGAAGAGGAGCCGAGAGGATTACTGGAGCCTTTCACTTTCTTTGCTACTGCGTTTTTTGTTGTTGTTGTCTTCATAACAAACATATTTTACTTTTCTAAGCAGGAAAAAAAATAAAGTTAAATAGGACAAGTTTGCTTGGGAGCCCTCTAGCCCTCTCTGGACTGTTCGTCCAAGAGCATAGGGGACCCACCCTCCCACCTCACACCCAAGGAGCCTTCCCTGAGAGCCCCAAGCTTTGTATCAGCTTCAGCCTACCATAGACTGTCAACTTTCTGAGGGTGGGCCCTGATATCAGGTCCACCTCTGCCTCTCCAGCACCTAGCAGAGTATCAGCTTCTCACCGTCCGAACTGGGAGAAGGGACTGCCAACCAGGATGACAGGGTTAAATGACTCCAAAACACTGCCTCTAGAATAAATCAGAATTATGATGCCAATTACCTTTGATTCCAACTTGTAATTCCTTGTATAATAGAAAAAATAAACACAGTCCACTACGGCAGATGTCAACAGAGCTCTAGAAAAGAAAACTTAAAACACTTCTCACAGGAAATATGATTCTATTTTTGCAGAGCTGCCTTTAAAAGTGTAAAGAATTGGGCCGGGCGCGGTGGCTCAAGCCTGTAATCCCAGCACTTTGGGAGGCCAAGGCGGGTGGATCACGAGGTCAAGAGATCGAGACCATCCTGGTCAACACGGTGAAACCCCGGCTCTACTAAAAATACAAAACATTAGCTGGGCATGGTGGTGCGTGCCTGTAATCCCAGCTACACAGGAGGCTGAGGCAGGAGAATTGCCTGAACCCAGGAGGTGGAGGTTGCGGTGAGCCGAGATCGCGCCATTGCACTCCAGCCTGGGTAACAAGAGTGAAACTCCGTCTCAAAATAAATAAATAAATAAATAAATAAATAAATAAAAATAAAAATAAATAAAAGTGTAAAGAAAGAGGTATTCAATTCGTATTTGTAAAAAATATTTAAAAACCTTCATTTTGGTGGATTATCAAGTTATTAGCCTACCAAAGGTACTACATATCTTGGTCAAGCCCTGCTTACATTGGAGGCAGAAGTATCAGGAAGGAAAGTCTGCCTGGAAACAGGCCTACTCCTAACTTTTGCATGTTTTAGGGCAAGGGTTCATAGGAAGACCCACATACCATTCATCTGAATATTTAGAAGTCATGAAGCAAGCTGGATGTGGTGGGTCATGCCTGTAATCCCAGCACTTTGGGAGGCCAAGGCAGAAAGATCACTTAAACCTAGGAGTTCGGGACCAGCCTGGGAAACAGTGAGACCCTGTCTCTATAAAAAATAAAATCCAAAAAAATAAGTTATGAAACAAATAACATGTTAAATTAAATATATTTTATCTTCCTTATCCTCCTCCTTCTTACCTTATAAATCCATAATGGCAAAATAAAAAATATGTACACCCATTTCCCTTGATCACCACCAGGGGTTTGTGGCTAGCATGGCTGGCTCAGCCAGTGCAGCTGGTGACACCAGGAGCTAGGGGGTAATTGTCCGGCACCCTCAGCCAACAGCACCTTATTCAAGTGGTAAAAGTTAAAAATCACTAATAGTGGGATGAATTAACATTATAGTTTCACACCTGTAATCCCAACATTTTGGGAGGCTGAGCCAGAAGGATCACTTCAGCCCAGGAGTTCGAGACCAGCCTGGTGAAAAAAGAAGATCCCTGTCTCTACAAAATAAAAAAAAGGAAAGAAAAAATAAATTCAAAGTACATGCCTCCTGAGGCACTGAGAAAAATATAAAAGCATTTCCTACATAATCTAATCTAAAATAGTTATCTAATATGTACCAACCAAATCTAATCATGATAAAACTACACATAAACCCAGATTTCGATAATTCTACAAAGTAACTGGCCTGTACTCTTCAAAAATGACAAGATCATGAAAGATAAGGAAAACCTAAACAATATTCCAGACTGAAAGAGACCAAAGTGACATGACAACTTTATGCAGTGTGTGATTCCATATTGCATCCTGGACAAGAAAGGAAAAAGGGAAATAAGAAGGCTTTGTATTTATTTTGTTCAAAGTATATTGTCAGAACAATCAGTGAAATTTGACTGGAGTCTGGATTAGGTGATAGTAATGAATCAGTGTTAAATTCTTTTTTTTTTTTTGAGACGGAGTTTCGCTCTTGTTACCCAGGCTGGAGTGCAATGGCGCGATCTCGGCTCACCGCAACCTCCGCCTCCTGGGTTCAGGCTATTCTCCTGCCCCAGCCTCCTGAGTCGCTGGGATTACAGGCACGCGCCACCATGCCCAGCTAATGTTTTGTATTTTTAGTAGAGACGGGGTTTCACCATGTTGACCAGGATGGTCTTGATCTCTTGACCTCGTGATCCACCCGCCTCGGCCTCCCAAAGTGCTGGGATTACAGGCCTGAGCCACCGCGCCCGGCCTACTTGAGCACCTTCTATTATTTCACTTCACTCTTGTAGAGCATCTCATATCTTGTTTAGATCAAATCTATTTCAACATAATGAATGCCCCTGAAACCAGGAATTAGAACATAAAGACATGCAAGAAAATGAATATGCTTTCTTCATTACTCATGGCAGGCTACTTAGTTATTCAAGAATTCTTTGCAGGGCCGGGCGCGGTGGCTCAAGCCTGTAATCCCAGCACTTTGGGAGGCCGAGGCGGGTGGATCACGAGGTCAAAAGATCAAGACCATCCTGGTCAACATGGTGAAACCCCGTCTCTACTAAAAATACAAAAAATCAGCTGGTCATGGTGGCACGTGCCTGTAATCCCAGCTACTCAGGAGGCTGAGGCAGGAGAATTGCCTGAACCCAGGAGGCGGAGGTTGCGGTGAGCCGAGATAGCGCCATTGCACTCCAGCCTGGGTAACAAGAGTGAAACTCCGTCTCAAAAAAAAAAAAAATAAAAGAATTCTTTGCATTCCCATTATCAGAAAGACAGGATTTGATAATTTGTTTTTTCTCTCTTAGGTAAAAAACTTTCCATTACTCAAAATCTCCCTGCCCTCCAAAGTAGTCTCCATTTCAAATGTCAACTGCAGCACAACTCCAAAATCTTCATGACATTCAAACACAGTTGCCTATTGTTTTCAGGTCACAGCATGACAAATGAGAAGGAGCATATCCTTAGAGCCTGGAAGATGTTGATCTCCAGGGCAGATGATTAGAGTTTCTGGTCAGAACTGAGTACCAAGTCCTAAGGGACAAAGTGACAGAGGCAACCATAAGTATGCATTGTTCATTGTTTTTGTTTTTGTTTTGTAGCCATTTGAGATGTAGTCTCGCTCTATTGCCCAGGCTGGAGTGCAATGGCACAATCTCGGCTCACTGTAACCTCGACCTCCGGGGTTCAAGCTATTCTCCTGCCTCAGCCTCCCGAGTAGCTGGGATTGCAGGCGCCTGCCACCATGCCTGGCTAATTTTTGTATTTTTAGTAGAGACAGGGTTTCACCATGTTGGTCAGGCTGGTCTGAAACTCCTGACCTCAGGTGATTCCCCTGCCTCGGACTCCCAAAGTGGTGGGATTACAGGTGTGAGCCACCGTGTCCAGGCTGTAGCCATGTATTCTTTAAATTTACTTTTCTGTATGTTTGTGACAGGAAAAGTTTTACCAAGTGCAGGATCAGAGGAAGTTTCCCCTTTGCCTGGGTCAAAAGGAGGTACTTCATGGAAACTTCACACCCCACAAAGATCACAGTGCCTAAGCCCCTCCCTGCTGGACTACTGTGCTGGACTTTTTTTTTTTTTTTTTTAGACAGGGTTTCACTCCGTCACTCAGGCTGACGTGCAGTGGCACAACCACAGGTCACTGCAGCCTGAACTCCTGAGCCCAAGCAACCCTCTCACCTCAGCCTTTCTAGTAGCTGGGGCTACAGGCATACACCACCATTCCTGGCTTGTGCTAGACTTTCACTGGCTTCCACTGATCTGTTGTGGATGGCTCAGACTTGATTGGGATAGCACATGGGGAAAAGAAAGGGGCTCTCAGATTTCTATATATTAAAAATAGTGGGCTGGGCACAAATAGTGGCTCACACCTGTAATCTCAGGACTTTAGGAGGCCAAGGTGAGTGAATTGCTTAAGTCTAGGAGTTCAAGATCATCCTAGGCAATATAGGGAGATCCCATCTCTGCAAAAAAAAAAAAAAATTTTAAATTTGAGACAGGATCTCACTTTGTCACTCAGGCTGGAATGCGGTGATGCGATCTTGGCTCACCACAATCCCTACCTCCAGGGTTCAAGCGACTCTCCTCCTTAGCCTCCTGAGGGACACCCTGTCTCAAACAAACAAACAAAATTAAGAGGAAACTATAGCTAGGAAGCTGATTGTTATCTCTCGGGTCATCAGGCTGAACCTGAAGCATTACAATCTTCCAGAAAATGAAGACTTTCAAAATTCTGATCAGCATGAACTAAGGGACCTAGTCCTGTTATCGGATTAAAGCTCCTATGAATAGAAACGTAAGGGAAGCCCTGCACACCTAAGGAAGGCAGTTTCAGGACAACTCTGAGAAGTTAAATATCACCTTATCAGACAGCTAATATACAAAAGTCAAAATATTTAAGTGATTCTGTAATATTTAGATGGTTTCCTAAAGGTGAAGTTTATGACAAGTCATAAAAAAGTAAGCTGGGGCCAGGCCCGGTTGCTAACACCTATAATCCCAGCACTTTGGGAGGCCAAGGCAGGCGGATTGCCTGAGGTCAGGAGTTCAAGACCAACCTGACCAACATGGAGAAAACCCTGTCTCTACTAAAAAGACAAAATAAGCCGGGCATGGTGGCACATTCCAGTAATCCCAGCTACTTGG